TCCAGGGGTATTCAATTTTCAGGAAAGATAGATGGAAAGCAAAGGGAGGTGGGGTAACATTGCCGGTTAAGGACGAGATTAACACAACAGCAAGAAAGGACATTAGCCTGGACAATGTGGAATCCATAGGGGTGGAGCTGCAGAACACCAAAGGAAAAAACCGTTAGTGGGAATTGTGTACAGATCACCAAATAGTAGCTGTAATGTTGGGGATGGCATGAAACAGGAAATTAGAGATGCCTGCAGTAAACGTACTGCAGTTCTTACGGGTGACTTCAATCTGCATATTGACTGAACTAACCAATGCAAGCAATGCGATGGAAGAGGATTTCCAGGAAACATACGAGGGATGGTTTCCTCGACCAATATGTCAAGGAACCAAGTAAAAAGTAGGCCATCCTAGACTGGGTATTGTGTAGTGAGAGAAGGTTAATTAGCAACACTGTGGTGCGAGATCCTTGGGGATGAGTGACCATAATATGGTAGAATTCTTCGTTAAGATGGAGAGTGACAATTAAATCTGAAACTAGAGTCCTAAACTTATAAAAAGCTAACTTTGATGGTATGAGACATGGATTGGCTAGGGTAAGCTGGCCAAGGGTATTTAAGGGGTTGACCACGGATAGGCAACAGCAGATATTTAAAGAACACATGGATGAACTTCAACAATTGTACATCCCTGTCTGGCATAAAAGAAAAACAGGGAAGGTGGCTGAACCATGGCTAGCAAGGGAAATCGGAAATAGTGTTAAAGCTAAAGAGGAGATGCATGAATTGGCCAGAAAAAGCAGCAAACCTGAAGGCTGGGAGAAATTTAAAAGTCAGCAGAGGAGGAGAAGGGTTTAATTTGGAAAGGGAAAATAGAATGAGAGTAAGCTTGCAGAAAGCATAAAAACTGACTGCAAAAGCTTCTATAGGTATTTGAAAAGAAAAGGACTGGTGAAAATAAATGTAGGTCCCCTACAGGTGAATTCATAATGGACAACAAAGAGATAGCAGATCAGTCGAGCAAACATTTTGGATCGGTCTTTGCTAAGGAGGACACAAATAGCCTTCAGGAAATGCCAGGAGACTGAAGGAAATCCTTATTCGTCAGGAAATGGTATTGGGGAAATTGATGGAATTAAAACCCAATACGTTCCACACTCTGATGCTGTGCATCCCTGGGTACTAAAGGAGGTGGCCCGAGAAATAATGGACACATTGGTGATCATTTTCCAGCATTCTATAGAGTCCGTAAGATTTTCAACGGACTGGAGGGTAACTAAGGTAACCCTACCTTTTAAAAAAGGATGCAGAGAGAAAACAGGGAATTATGGGCTGGTTCGCCTGACATCAGTGGTGGGAAAAGTGCTGGAGTCAATTATTAAGAATGTAAGAACCGTGCATTTGGAACATGGTGACAGAATCGGTCCTAGTCAGCATGGATTCACTAAAGGGAAATCATGCTTGACAAATCTTCTGGAATTTTTTCCAGGATGTGACCAGAAGAGTGGACAAGGGTGAATCAGTAGATGTTGTGTATCTGGACTTTCAAAGGGCTTTTGACAAGGTTCCACACAAGAAATTAGTAAATAAAATTAAAGCTCATGGTATTTGGGGTAATGTATGGACATGGATAGAGAACTGGTTGGCAGACAGGAAGCAGAGAGTTGGAATAAGCGGGTCCTTTTCGGAGTGGCAGACAGTGACGAGTGGGGTGCCGCAGTGCCGAGACACCAGCTGTTCACAATATACATTAACAATTTAGATGAAGGAATTGAATGCAATATCTCCAAATGTGCAGATGACACTAAGCTGGGTGGCAGTGTGTGCTGTGAGGAGGATGCTAAAAGGCTGCAGGGTAACTTAGATAGGCAGGCTGAGGGGGCAAATACTTGGCAAATGCAATATAATGTGCATAAACGGGAGGTTATCCACATTGGTCACAAAAACAGGAAGGCAAATTATCATCTGAATGGTGGTAGTTTAGGAAAAGGTGAGGTGCAACGAGACCTGGGTGTCATAGTGGAACAGTCGCTGAAGGTTGGCGTACAGGTGCAGCAGGCGGTGAGGAAAGCTAACAGCACATTAGCCTTCATAGCGAAAGAATTTGAGTATCAGAATAAGGATGTCTTGCTGCAATTATACAGGGCCTTGGTGAGACTACACCTTGAGTATTGTGTGTAGTTTTGGTCTCCTAGTCTGAGGAAGGACATTCTTGCTATTGAGGGAGGCCAACGAAGGTTCGCCAGACTGATTCCCGGGATGGCAGGACTGATGTATGAAGAAAGACTGGATCGACTGGGCTTTTACTTATTGGAAATTAGCAGAATGAGGGGGGAAATCAGAAACATATAAAATCCTGATGGGACTGGACAGGCTAGATGTAGAAAGAATGTTCCCAATGTTGGGGAAGTCCAGAAAAAACAGTCTAAGGGGGAAGCCATTCAGGACTGAGAGGAGGAAGAATTTCTTCACTCAGAGTTGTGAACCTGTGGAATTCTCTCCCACACAAAGTTGCTGGGGCCAGTTCACTAGATACATTCAAGGGGGAGCTGGGTGTGGCCCTTGCAGCTAAAGGGATTAAGGGGTACGGAGAGAAAACAGGAATGGGATACGGAAACTGCATGATCAACCATGATCATATTGAGTGATGGTGCAGGCTCAAAGGGCCAAATGGCCTACTCCTGCTCCTATTTTCTATGTTTTTACACGGGAGTGACTCAAGTGGAATACATGGGAAGAGGAGTGTATTGGGTAATAACCATAGGAGTATTGGATCCTACGTGGAGACCCCCTGTGCCCCATCCAGAACTGCAATGTTTGTTTCAGTTCTACCCTTCTCATGTGGAATTAGTAGATATCCAGAGGCAAAAGTACAGGCACATGCAATCTTTCACCGATACATGAATCATTTTTCTTTTCCTGTACCACGTCTACTCAAACATCTAACCAGGGAAATGCAATTTTGAGATAGGTATGGAAGATATGGCACAACCTGCAGCTAACCAAGTGAGCAGGTGCAGTGGGGGGCTCGAAGAGATTAAGGAGACCAATTGGCAGGATGATTAAGGGTTGAATGTACAGCTGCACCCCGGGGTCTATATGGTGTGCCAAGAGTTGGTGGTAATCTAACGTGTCGCCCAACTATTATGGGTAGTTCTGCTGTGGTGTACCCGATGTGCCTTAAGGTGGAAATGATGGCAGGACAAAGGTTCTGAGGCAAAGATCGTCAAAGGGGGAACGAGAATGCTTGTGTTTCTTTCAATCTTCAATACTCAGGAAGAGAATTTAAAGGGTGAAATGTGTAAATATTAAACTGAATTTTGCTGGGTTAGCCAAAACGAAATTGAATTAGAATGAAACGAAAAGAGAGTCGGTATCGACCTGATGATTAGAAAGGTGACGATTTTTAAAAACATTTTGGTTTAGGCTGAAGGGATGGGTATTAGTTTACATCAAGTTTTATAACTCAAGTCTGTTGTTGAGCTTCAGGCTGAAGATGGCACTTATTACATGAGTATACACAGTGACCAAATTCCAAACTAACGCTGATGCATTCGCATGACAGGAATGACCTTAGGCAAGTACTCATTCACTTTGACAGCAGGAATAGAAAAAGCAGAATATTATTTCATTGGAGATAGGCTGCAGTACAAACTGATCTATTTCACACTGCATATGATTCATGAAAGGTTAACATGCAGCCACAATAGTTAGCAACTCTGAACCTCATTGGAATGTTGACCTTTATTGCTAAAGGGAGTGAAGTATAAAAATAAGTACCTCTCGCTGAAACCTTACACGCCATTGGTGAGGCAACATCAAGAGCTCACACAAGGTTTTGGTCTCCTTTTTGATAGGGATGTATCGCAAGCCAATCAGGCATGGTGCACCAGGCAGATTCCTATGATGAAACTTTGGGATAAAATTGAGACTTCTGCGCCTATACACAATGGAATTTTGAAGAACGAGAGGTGATCTTATTGAAACAGGCACGATTCTGAGAGAGATTTGACAGGAAACCTGCTTCCCTGCCGATTTCAGGTAATTTAATAACTCGTGACACAGTTACAAAGTTTCTATTTAAGACAGAGTTAAGGAGGGCTTTCTTTCTCACAGTTGATTGTGAGGGCTTGCAATTCCCTATCCCTCAGAGCAGCGGAGGCTGGGTCATTCAATATATTCAAGGCTGGGTTTGGCAATTTTTGATCACCAAGGAGTGAAGGGTTGTGGGGAGAAACAGCATTACGGAGCTGATTCCACAGTTAGATCAGCCATGACCTTACTGAATATCAGAGCAGGCTGGAGGGCCAAATGCAGCTACTTCTAATGGCCTTATTGCGATATTCTTTTTCAGATCCCAATTAAGTACTCATGACTTTTTTTGTCTCCACCTTGGCATCAGTTCAACTTTTTACACAGTATTTAGCAACACTACCAGTTTCTAGTGTCCAATAATAACAGTCCATGTCACTCGTAAGCTGGGCATATTTCTCTTAACTCGCATCTTTTTGGAATACTCAGTTGTGTCTGATAATTTCCCACACAGGCTGTTCTCTTTCTCAAGCTCTTCTCACATTCCTATGACATGTTGTCATCCTTTCCACCCTTCCCATACCTGGGATCTCTGTTGTGCTGCGCATTCCTGTGAATCCATTTATCCAAACACTGGAATCTACAGTCAATCCAATTGTTTAATTTGGCAATTAAATTCGTCACACTTCAGAAAGGTCAGTCGATCACTGCCCTTCCACAACTCTCTCTATTAACACAAGAGCCCAGCCAACGATGATCAAGAGCTGAAACATTCCATCAAATACCATCTTAACCAAATCTCACAGCAGCGTTCGTACATGGAGAGACAGCGTGCTACAGCCTTTGGTACAGTCTGCTGGCAAGGTGACATAAACTGCACTATAAACGCCCAGTCCAACGCAATGTCAGGGTGGGTGGCACAGCCCACAGTATAACTCCCTGACAGTTCATCGCAACCACTGGCTGGTTTTCAAACTGACCTGCAGCGGGGCACGGAGTTGTCGCTGACGAAGGTGTTTCTCCCGGAGGCGCTCCAGATAGTTCCGCTGAGACACACTCCGGATGGAGCTCACCTTCAAATCCTCGAGGTAAACGGCAATCTGAGGACACAGGAAACAGGGTCAGTGAACATAGAACAGTACAGCACAGTACAGGGCGACGATGTTGTGCCGAACTTCTACCCTAAACCTAAGGTCTATCTAACTCCACCCCTATCTTATACTATCATCCATATGCCTATCTAATAGCCACTTAAATGCCCCTAATGAAGCCGACTTCACTACCCTCTCCGGCAATGCATTCCACGCCCCTACCACTCTCTGAGTAAAGAACCTACCTCTGACGTCTACCAGTGTTACTGGTAAACCCAGGAGTGGGTTGGGGGGGCGAAATGGGGGGGGGGGGGGGGGGGGGGGGTGGTGGGGGGGGGTGTTTTTGCAGGGGGGTGGGGGACACCTGCACACATGGCGGCCCCAGGCCTCTTCTGTCCCCTCCTTGCTCGGTGCCCACCTGTTCACGGGTCTTCCCAGGCACCTCACTCTCAATGCTGCTCAGATCTGGCTCCCTGCTCGCACTCTGCTTCTTGAGCGCCCGCAGCAGCAGTCGCTTCTCTTGAGGGTTCCACTCCGCCACCTCGCCATCAATATCCATGGACTCGGTCTCCGATTCCACCCCGTACCGGCGCGGGGCGGCTCGCAATCTCACCGGGGGCTTCATCACCTCACAAAAGGCTCTGCATGGAGGGAGGGAGGGAGAGAGAAAGAAAAGGAAAGAGGGAGGGAGGGAG